GGCGAGGCGCCGACGAGACGGTCGCCCCATCAGCCTGCGCGCCCCGAGCCGCCGTCACGAGCTGCACCTGCCACCCGCGGCCCGCGCAAAGCCAGCTGCCGACGAACTGGGGGCGCATCAACAGCAGAGAGAAAACTGGAGAGACCTCCGCCTCCGACCAGCTCCCAGTGCCACTCAGGGTCGAGGAACTTGGTAGGCCAGTCCCCCTTCTGTTCACCTTCGTACTGATATTGACTGGCTGCGCCTCTCCTGACCTCGTCTTCTCGGGCCCAACTGCTCGGCCTCCTGATGTCTCGCGCGGCCGGCGCCCAGGAGGCGCGCGATGCCCGGGGGGGCGCTGCCGCGTCGCCGCCATCCTGCGCGACGAGGCCCCTCGCGCCCACCTCTTCCAACGCGCTTGAGGAACAGCCCGTGCGCGACGCCGTTCGCCAGCTCGCGGAGCTCGGCCTCGCCAAACGGGAGGGCGATGTTCCGGCGCTGACCGCAGTAGCTGTCAAGCAAGCGCTTGCCCAGGAACGCGGAGCCTCCGTCGGTGGACCGACGGGTCCGCGGGCACTGCGCGAGCCGACCTCGACACGGGAGGCCCCCGGCGCCTCCTGGAACGCGAAATCCCACTGCAGCTCCTTGCGCGCTCCAGCTGAAGTTTCTGCACCGCCGCGGGCTCCTTGTCATCGGCGCTCCCGTCGCGCGCTCGATGTCGCGGCGGTCCTCGGCCTTGTAGCGCGCCGACAGCGCGCGGCCGCGGTGCTCGCCGCGCCCCGCGTCGCCGATGGGGGCCCGCGGCGCCCTTTCGACTCTTGCCCGCGCGTTTGCTGCCAGGCCCGAGCAGCCTGCCCGGCGCGCCCCTCCCATCGCGGCCGTCGAGTGCGATGGCCTTTTCGACGTGCGCCGCGTTTGCGAGCCAGTGGAAGCCGCCCCGGCCGCGCTGGATCTGGAAGCCCTGGTCTAGCATCCCGTCGAGCCAATCAAGCTACCCCACCCCGCCACGGCGCAGATGCCGCCGCCGTGGACCACGGCCAAATGGCGCGGTGGAACACCTTCGCCGCGACGGTGATCCGATTCGACCCTGACTTCACCAGCGCGCCGATGACGCACTCCAGTTGAACTTCGGCGCT